GTATAAACAATACAGTATATAAACAACATTCGGTGTGTGTTAAACCGATCATTAGCTGGTCGTTGTCCGAAACATCAATCATAAAACGTTTTAACTTTACCTTCAAAGTCAAATCAAATGATCATTCGACGCTGTAAACCAATGTTTGTGAAATTTAGCGGAAAAAAAACTTTGAAAACATTCCATATGGATATGAATTTAATTGAAACTTGTATAAATTATTTTAGTCATTTATGGTTTACGCTCTGAATAGATATGAATTTCAAATCAGTGGGGTTTTTGCAATCAATTCTGATTTACAAGTTTAACACGCCTAAAAAAATTGTCCTTAAAATATCAGAAAACATTGGTTTTTATCTAATATATGACAAAAATTTCCTTGTGTATCTATAGCTCAAACATCCTTTACCACAGTATAGTTTTTTTCTATTTAAGTATTAGTTTACTTTAGATAAGATGCAATGGGGGATGGGTTACATTTGTACGAATGAAAAAAAATATTTTTCGAAGAGAGAGAGAAAGGGGGGATACAAATGAAAAATATCAAAGACGAATGAAAGAGCCCTTTACCTTACGGTCTGTATAATAATCACATGTCGCTCCGATTTGTAATCACACGTCTAACATGTAAATCCTAAATCCCCTGTCTTAGCGTCTAACGAGGCGATGAATCCACTAAGTGGTGTTTTCCGTCTCAGTAATTATAATTTGAGATCTAAAAGTGGGATCCGCCTACTGGAAGAGGAATTAAATGAACAACACCATTCGAATGTGCCCACCATGAAGATATGCTTAAAGTGCGTACAAAAAAATCTGATTAAATGATTGCCCCAATATATTCCTTTCCTGTTTTTACTGAAAGCAAAAACATGTCAAGTTTATAATTTTGAAGTACATGTGGTTTAGACTTCCGATACATCCCACCAAAAAAAAATTCATGGATATGATGGAATAAGTATGATAAAGCTTCTCTTGATTTTTTTTTTAATCTTCTTTTAAATTCTTTTTTATCATTTACGTAGGAATATATGTATTAATCATTATTTGCATTTCAAATCCAAATCAGTGATGAATCAAGATTGGAAATATCCCTTTGTCTAGATCCCTGTCCCTGCTTTACTACACCCCCCCCCCCTCCCTTCTCTCTCCTAAGCAATTGAAACTTAATTTGGGGTACGCCGAACAGGGAAACAAATATCCGCAGAGACTTCCAAGTCATCCCATTTGAATGGAAACCTTTGTATGAATAAAAAAAAAACAGCCTAAATTCAGTTTCTCTACATATGAAATCGAAATCAATTTTAAGTCAGGGATATATTACAGTTAGAACCACCCAGAGGACCAATTAAATCTTTTTTTTATCAAATCCAAAATTAAATTTACATATAAGCATTGAATTCATATTTTTGGATGTCGTCAGTTCTATAACATGGCCGTGCCGACAATTTGAATAGCGCGCGTTAGCGCGGTATGATAATTCGTTGGCACGGCCAGGTGTGTTATAGGACCGACGACATCCAAAAATACGAATTAAATGCCAATATTTACAATTTTTCGTTTTAATTATGTGTAATTATTATAATTAATGTGAATTTAGCGCCCAGCGGTATTGATGTGCATAATAGACGTAACAGCCGTTTGTGACGTTGCAACGTTTAATAACGCAAACGAACATTGCGAGCAAAAAGTGAAAAAAAAAATCAATTTTAAACGTACAATTGTTGTATTTTTACGTTAATTAATTTGAACGCCGTGGATTTCTTATGGATTTCATATCGAAATTACACCGAATGTAAATATTGAATATTAAATCCTTTCATTTTAAGTTTTGTGCGAGTTATGGTGTGTACAAGTCTGCGTGATTAACATTCAATTAACTCACACTAAACTTTTTTAAAAAAAATTATATTTAGGCCAAAAAAATAATCAATTATAGTTTCTCAGGCACCGCCGCATCAGTTCAAAAACGGCCGCATTGATCAATTTTATTGACATTGAAAAGGGAAATACAAATGTAACTCAATTTTTCTATTCTTCTAAGTTGAAAAAGAAAATTGAGTTATTCCCCTTTTCATAAATGCTAAGATACTAGTAGTCGGTTTTATTAGAAAAACAATACATTTCTTCTACATTTTCATTTTTTTTATTATTTAACTTTTAAATAAATGTTTGGAGTAACATTATTTAAAGTTGAATACATATTACAACCAATTTCAGAGAACAAAAATTAAGAACTGGTAGATATTATCATTTTATTGAACAAATGGCTTAAAAAGGATGTTAAACCTGCAAAAAAAAAAAAAAAAAAAAAAAGCCTGCCTGTCGCATTGAATTCCAATTTTTTGGCCTAAAAAACTATTGATTACTTTTTTTTGGCCTTACATTTTACATGTCTGAAAGCTCTAAAATTTACTCAATATTTGAATTTCTCGCTGTAGCTGTGCAAGTCTGTGATATACACACCAATACTTCATACTAACCCTAAAAACATTCTTTATATTTACATTTTACATCTTTTAAAGCACCAAAAAATACTAGTAGTCAATATTTCAATTTCTCGCTGCCCTTAATCGTTGCATTTTTACTTACGTCGCTGTAGCCTCAATGTGACGTCACGTTATCGCGTTATTATCTGTGTATATTTCTACCCGTGCTTATATACACAAAAATGGTTGTATTCAAATCAATTTCACAGTTGGCATAGTAGAAAGACAGAGCTAATGTAAATATATATTTATACAATTGACGAAATATTATTATATATGGTGATAATCAAATAATGAATTTGTTTACCCAAGGCATTACATCATTATTCAAACTTCCTGCGCCCGCTTTGACATTCGGATTTATTTGAAATAAACCAATAATATGTTTAAATATAATTCATATATTTAATCTTCATATCTATAACTTAAATAAAATACAAAAAATACAAACACTAAGTAAAAAAAACACATGGCATAAAAAGCTAATGATAATCACTCTAATGTTATACATTGTATATAAACTTTCAATATTTACCTGAAAATTAAAGAAATCTTCAACCCCTTTGATTTGGGGGGGGGGGGGGGTTAGTGGGGGTATAGTAGGTGTCAGTATTTTTAATGTTCACCATAAATGTAACAGTTAAGATAACTATGTGATTAAGATAATCATAATAGTTAATACCCAAACTATTAGCCAATTCATGAAAATCAATGGACAAAATACATTCTTTACACTATGAAGATGTGACATCAAAAGGGAGATTTTATCAAACAACATTTTTTTTCATTTATAAAATATTTTTTGAAGTTTATCTGAAAACTACAGAGCACAAAATGCTGGTGAAAGGGTAATTGTCTGCATGCATTTAAATGTTTACAATATATATAATTCCATCTTAACTTTCAAATAAATGGGATATCATTAATTTATAAATCACTTACATGTAGTTAAATGATTACATGTAAACATGCATAACTCAGGACTATGTATAAAAACCAGAAGTCTCTGTCGAGACTGTAGCTCTACTGGTTTGTACTTATAACAGAGGAAGAGAAAAGTAGCATTTTAAAGTATTTCAAAGAAATTTCTATTTTTAGTAACAACAGCAACACTGTTCATTGAAATCAAAAACCGATACACAGAATTATGTATCTTATTGTAGTTTACTTGTGTGCCAAGTTATACTGAAATCAGACCAAAACTGTAGGAGGAGTAGCATTTTGAAAGCATTTAATTGAAATTTCTATTTTTAGTAACAACGGCAACACCATTCATCGAAATCAAAAACCGATACACAGAATTATGTATCTTAGTGTAGTCTACTTGTGTGCCAAGTTGTGTTGAAATCGGACCAAAATTGTAGGAGGAGTAGCATTTTAAAAGTATTTCACAAAAATTTCTATTTTTAGTAACAACAGCAACACCGTTCATTGAAATCAAAAATCGGTATACAGAATTATATATTTAGTGTAGTCTACTTGTGTGCCAAAGTATAATGAAATCAGACCAAAACTGTAGGAGAAGTAGCATTTTAAAAGTATTTCACAGAAATTTCTATTTCTATTAACCACGGAAAAATCGTTCATCGAAATCAAAAATTGTTATATAGAATTATGTATAAGTTATATTGACATCAGACCAAAACTGTAGGAGGAGTAGCATTATGAAAGTATTTCACAGAAATTTCTATTTTTAGTAACCATGGCAACACTGTTCATTGAAATCAAAAACCGATACACAGAATTATGTATTTTAGTGTAGTCTACTTGTGTGCCAAGTTGTGTTGAAATCAGACCAAAACTGTAGGAGGAGTAGCGTTTTGAAAAATTGTTTACAGACGGACAGACGGACGGACGCCGGACGCATTACTATCGCATAAGCTCTTCTGGTCTCTGACCAGTAGAGCTAAAAATGACAAACAATAGAAAAATTGAGCACCCTGTGCAATTCTTAGTGAGCATGAAAGGCTAATATAAGATTTCATCACACTATTACATGTAACTCATATAATTGAGTAATGAAGAATTTTCACATAATGAGCAACAAACAGGAAAGTTTGAAAAAAGTCTCTCTCTCTCTCTCTCTCTCTCTCTCTCTCTCTCTCTCTCTCTCTCATATTCATTTATATAATCAAAACATGGGATTATGCAATACTGCCATTTGAACATATACAGGATTTTTAGCAATGTGTACGTGTATATAGAATCACATGACATTTGTATTGTTTTTAAACTGTAATTCTGGTGAAATTATGTAAACAAGTAAATCCAATATCAATCTAAAAGTCTACAGTGATGGGCATTTCATAAAAATTGGTTTGACCTGTACATGTACATCCATTTAATATAAGTTACTTTTTACAGAAATTTAATATCTTTTTATTTGTAGATCACTGAATAAAATCATCTATTGGGATTTGAACTTTTAACTACATGAAGTTACACGGCATGTGTTAGAGAGTAAAAAAAATGTCCATTTTAACACACATATTGCCACTCACATGCATACAAACAAGAGAGCATAGAAAACAGAAAGGGCACTTTGAAGTCATGTAAATTCCTGCAGTTTTCATCCAATCACAGACATTTAATTGGAAGACAGATTAACCAATGGGAAAAAGGTTAACAAGATCAACCAATGGGAAGGAAGGAGACTAATGTAAAACATTGCACTGATCAGTATGAACTAGACTACTGGATTTGCTGTATTGAACGGTTTCCTTGGTGCATCTATTATCTTCTCATTTTCTGTTAATAATATTCTTCTTCTTGATTCCTAGGAATTTAAAAACAAGAATTGATACTTACTTCATCTTCAAATAAAAAAGTTTACACAAAATAAAAAAGAACAGTAAAACTTCCAAATTGATTGATGTATATCAAAAAGTGTGTGGCAGTCAGCCAGGATCAATCACTGGTGGTCAGATAGCTCAGTCGGTAGAGTACCTGACCAGAGATTCAGGGAGCCTAGGTTCAAATCCCGGTCTGGTCTGCTGCATTGTTCTCTTCTCTCATTACAAGTGTATACAAGTAATATATTAAAAGGAAGTAAGTCAGCTTTTATTATCAGACAGCCTTATAAATACAAACATCAACTAGTTGGGGGGTTTTCCAAAAATTTTCATAGCAGCAGCCGAGCTTACATAATTTTTTTTAATAAGCAATCTATTACACGAGGGACGTTCAATAAATAATGTCATCGGGGCTCGGAAAGAAACAAAAAAACGCTTTTCTATGATTTAGTCTTAAAGATTTAACTTAAATGTTCTCTTTTAATAAAAACACATGTCCGTAACATTTTTATTCAATTTCTAATTGTTTTTAGAACACAGTTTTGAGTATGACCCTTCGTATACTGGAAAATGGCAGATCCTATGATTTGCTGTACTTGTTTTTTTCTTTCTGAAAGGTGTTTTCCTAAGTTTAGGAAATGAAACAAGGCAAAGATTAAAAGATCTGGCAAATATTGTTGATGTGACAAAACATTAACTTTCTGTTTACCCCAAAACTCCTTTACTCTTCATGGCCTGTGGGTTTGTACGCTGTCAGGAAGAAATTAAATGTAGTGAATTTCTCATTCTGTTTCCTTCCTCTCATAAACCTTTCAATTTTTTGGCAAATATTTTGCTTACTAGACTCCTCCAGAAATTGAACTGCCTCCCTATATATGAATTTGAACAACAAATACGCTAATATTTAACAAAATAGCGTATAAATCTGTTTATGTGTTCTTGCAAATTTTTGCTCTTCTTAGGCCTTTGCAGTTTTGTCAAGTACGTATTATTCTAAATTTGTTTTGAGGGTTTAACTCAAAATGGATTCAAGTTTCATGATCTGTTTGAATTTCAGAAACACGTGGTTAAGAACAATTTTTGAATTTTTAAACATAATTGTTAGATTTTCTACACGCTCTCGTTTTCGCTCATTTTTAAAAATATAGGGTGACCTTTGAGTATTAAACTTTTTTACAATCAAATATTTCTTTAAAACAGTGTGAACTATCCCCAAAATGATGCCTATCAAATTTGCTATGTAACTTAAAGTCAATAAAACATAATCAGTGATAATTTGTTGAATTATCGCTAGTATACATTGGTTGTTGTATGTACATTTTGACAAGGACGGTACCCATTTTTGATGCCAATTATATAATTTTTGTTAACTGAAATCCACCTGTTCATGGGTGTATGAAACAGACATAAGTTGCTGTAAATTTCATATATTTCAGTTAATAGATCTTTGGGAAATTAACAAGTTTTATAGCAGCTTTAATGATGCGTTTAATTTTACTCTAGTTTACTGATTCTTGACCATTCATTTTTAATGCAGTGTCTCGAGTAGCCCTTGTTTTCTAGCTTCCCACAATGAAATAATGCAACGAAAAGTGGTCACATAAACTTTTATCAATTCATTAAAGATTAAATAGTGAGAGAAAGCCAATGTCATATGATTTCTATGTTGTATGTCATCGAGCTAATGACATTATTTATTGAACGCCCCTTGTATTAACACATCTTCTCCCATTAATTATATGTTTTTAAAAAAAAAATTACCGCATCACGCTTGCGATTTCTGGCTGGTTGGTCCTTCATCTCCTCTCTTTCATCCTAAAATATTTCATTATACATGTGTATAAAAATATGTCATACATGTATTAGGCTGGAACATAGCAATGTTTTATTAAACACTTTGCTGTAAGTTATTGCTTGATTATATTAACTTACGAATTTGTTTATGATGTAAATGCCTAAAATCCACACAGGTATAGCCAGGATCAGGACTGTCCATACAATGTTGTTCTTCATAAATACAGCTTGAAACATTAAATAATTTATAATCACTTTAATATGAACATCAGATGTACATTTTATATGCTATCCTGTAAACAAGAGGCCCAGGGGCCACAGCGCTCACCTGAGCACATCGGGCTTGAATTTACTCCCCTCCCCCCCCCCCCTCCCCTCCAGGCGGTCATCATTTGAACAAACTAGAGTCTACACTACCTGAGGATGATTCCATATAAATATCACTAATTATATTTAGCTTTGAAGTACTTGAAAAGAAGATTTTTAAAAGGTTTCCCTATATATCCTTATGTAAAACTTGGGTCGGCTGTTTTGGCCCCACCCTAACCCAAGGGGTCATGATTTGAACAAACTTGAATCTGCACTACCTGAGGATGATTCCACATATCTTTCCTGGCCCAGTGGTTCTGGAGAAGAAGATTTTTAAAGATTTTTCCTATATATTCCTGTGTAAAACTTGGGTCGGCCGTTTTGGCCCCACCCTTGCCCCGGGGGTTATGATTTGAACAAATTTGAATCTGCACTACCTGAGAATGATTCCACATGAGTTTCATCTTTCCTGGCCCAGTGGTTCTGGAGAAGAAGATTTTTAAAGATTTTTCTAATATATTCCTATGTAACACTAGGGTCGGCCATTTTGGCCACACCCTTGCCCCGGGGGTCATGATTTGAACAAGTTTGAATCTACACTACCTCAAGATGATTCCACTTGAGTTTCATCTTTCCTGGCTCAGTGGTTCTGGAGAAGAAGATTTTTAAAGATTTTTCCTGTACATTCCTATGTAAAACTTGGGTCGGCCATTTTGGCCCCATCCTTGCCCCGGGGGTCATGATTTGAACAAACTTGAATCTACACTACCTGAGGATGATTCCTCATGAGTTTCATCTTTCCTGGCCTAGTGGTTCTGGAGAAGAAGATTTTTTAAAGGTTTCCTATATATTCCTATGTAAAACTAGGGTCGGCCATTTTGGCCCCACCCTTGCCCCGGGGGTCATGATTTGATCAAACTTGAATCTACACTACCTGAGAATGATTCCACATGAGTTTCATCTTTCCTGGCCCAGTGGTTCTGGAGAAGAAGATTTTTAAAGATTTTTCCTATATATTCCTATGTAAAACTAGGGTCGGCTGTTTTGGCTCCACCCTTTGCCCCGGGGGTCATGATTTGAACAAACATATATCTACACTACCTGAGGATGATTCCACATGAGTTTCATCTTTCCTGGCCTAGTGGTTCTGGAGAAGAAGATTTTTAAAGATTTTTCCTATATATTCCTATGTAAAACTTGGGTCGGCCATTTTGGCCCCACCCTTGCCCCGGGGGTCATGATTTGAACAAACTTGAATCTACACTACCTGAGGATGATTCCACATGAGTTTCATCTTTCCTGGCCTAGTGGTTCTGGAGAAGAAGATTTTTAAAGATTTTTCCTATATATTCCTATGTAAAACTTGGGTCGGCCATTTTGGCCCCACCCTTGCCCCGGGGGTCATGATTTGAACAAACTTGAATCTACACTACCTGAGGATGATTCCACATGAGTTTCATCTTTCCTGGCCTAGTGGTTCTGGAGAAGAAGATTTTTAAAGATTTTTCCTATATATTCCTATGTAAAACTTGGGTCGGCCATTTTGGCCCCACCCTTGCCCCGGGGGTCATGATTTGAACAAGAGGCCCACGGGCCTTATAGGTCACCTGAGTATTGTGTAACAACTTTCAAACAATTAAATTTGGTTCGTGTTTTAAACCAGAGGCCATGAAATTCACAATTCACAATTTTGAAAGAGGCACCATTGCTTATCATAATTAAAAATACTCTTACTTACTCAATACCCAAAGGTATATCAGAGTTACAAAGAGAGAAAATGTTTTCCCACTTTATAACCAGTTGTGCACCTCACCCCAAAAGAACCACTGATCCTGGGGCCACATATTTCAAAATTTTATCAAAAAATAGTTGATTAAAACCAAAGAGCAGATTTCCAAGCATTAATTTATTTTCAGACTATGTACCCCCCCCCCACCAAGGGAGGGGGGATAACCATTTTGCTAGATGCACCTTTCTTCATCATAAATATATATAATTGGATCATTGGCATAAAATTCACAAATTTGGAAAAGGAATTCTTGCTCATCGTAACAATATCCTAAGTTAGATTGTTTAATACCCAAAGCAGAGAAGAAGATGTTAAAAGAAATTAATGTATTTTCACTGTATAATCTATAGAGCCCCGCCCTAACACCTGAACCCCTGACCCTGGGGCCATAAAATTCACAAATCTGGAAGAGGCACTCTTGCTCATCATAACTATGTACTTAGTTAGTTTTTTTAATACCCAGAAGCAGAGAAGAAGATTTTCAAAGACTAAATGCATTTTCACTATATAATCTATAGAGCCCCGCCCTAACACCTGAACCCCTGACCCTGGGGCCATAAAATTCACAAATCTGGAAGAGGCACTCTTGCTCATCATAACTATGTACTTAGATAGTTTATTTAATACCCAGGAGCAGAGAAGAAGATTTTCAAAGAAATAATGCATTTTCACTATATGAACTATATAGCCCCGCCCTAGCACTAGAACCCCTGACCCTGGGGCCATGAATTTCACAATTTTGGTAGAGGACTCAATGCTCATTACATTCATGCTAACAGTTTGCCTGCTTGATGTCCAGGAGTAAAGAAGAAGATTTTTGAAGATTGCTATAATTTTAGTGGTTTTGGCCCCACCCCTCAGGCCCCAGGGGGGCAGGGACCATGAAATTCACAATTTTTGTTCCCCTTCACCCATAGATGCTGTATACCAAATTTGGTTGAAATTGGTTCAGTGGTTTCAGAGAAGAAGCTGAAAATGTTCAAATGTTAACACACGACACACGACGCACGACGACGGACGAAAACAGATAGCAATAGGTCACCTGAGTTACTCAGGTGACCTAACAAACTTGAATCTACACTACCTGAGGATGATTCCACATGGGTTTCATCTTTCCTGGCCCAGCGGTTCTGGAGAAGAAGATTTTTTAAAAATGCCATTAATTTTTAACAAATTCATGATTATCTCCCCTTGGAAAAGGGCGTGGCCCTTCATTTAAAAAACTTGAATCCCCTTCACCCAAGGATGCTTTGTGCCAAGTTTGGTTGAAATTGGCCCAGTGGTTCTTGAGAAGAAGTCGAAAATGTGAAAAGTTTACAGACAGACGGACAGACAGACAGACAGACGGACAGACGGACGCCGGACAAAATGTGATCAGAAAAGCTCACTTGAGCCTTCGGCTCAGGTGAGCTAAAAATGGACTGCACTTAAATTGGTTTTTATTTGGTCTTTATCTTTAATTGAATATTGATTTAAAATTAATTAAAGCACAGCCAAATATAAAAGGTAACACTGTATTATGGACTTGCAGTAATTAATGCTTTTTAATCAGGGTCCTGAACATTTTCAATCGATTTTTTTAAGAACCCTCTCTACACTGCACACTAAAGAGTTCTGATTCTATGGTATTTTTTGCAGTTAGAATGATCTGCCCTTAGATCTAAATTCTTAAAATGAGAAATTCACATTTTATTACACAATTTTAAATCAATTCAGGTATTCTTAACATTTTAAAAGGCCAAGATAAATTAATTGAACATGTTACTAACATGTATTTTCTCAATGGAAGTAACAAACAGTGATTTCTATTCACTGATACTGTGTTGAGTTTGATTATTTTTCCTGGGGGTAAATGCCACGCACCATATGTTGAAATTCATATAAATAAGCTCAAAAACTAACACCTTTATAGAATATATTTTTGTCAATATCCAAAAAACATTTTGTACTGGTGTAGAGAGGGTCCTTAATGAAAAAAAAAATGAAAATATTGGAAATAATGATGTTGTTTATTAACCTTTACTGTTTAGTTTAAGATTGAAGGTTAATTTGCTAAGCACGTCTAAATTTCAATTGGGACAGGGTCCTTTTACCTGACCAGAAAGTACATGCAAAGTCAGTGGACTAGTGACATGTCTATTATGAGGTGATAGACTTACCTATTTGATCTATGCTGAAAGATTGGATGATTGAAAATAACCTCTGTACTAATTTTGACTGGGATTTCTCACATTTTCCCTATGAAAAAAAAATATAAAAATAAGTTTAAAATCAGAAGCCTTTGTTATAATTATTTTATTATATACCCAAATGTGTATCACTCAATTTTACTGTAGATTTAATGAATGTCATGATCCGACTTTCCAGATCACCACACTGTGGTTTTCTGAATCCATATCACAACTCTCTGAAACTAATGATGCAGTGCTAAGACATGACGTTATTTTTCTTGCATATAAAAAAAGTTTCTTAACAAACTGCTTTCTTTGGTGAAAAAATTATATATAATTGATCTCAAAAGTTTTTAAAACTATATTTTGCTAATTGTAATGAGGGTATATAATAAATTTACCATTAGAACAGTAAATTGATCCTAAGAGCCATATCACGTTGAGCTGACAGGCACTTAATTACAATGCATCCGATCAAACTCAATGCAAAGCATGGAGTTTGATTCACTCCTGTCAACTTGTCGGGATATTCCTCTTGGGTTACTTTAAACCACCTTTCATTCGCGACGACTTATTTTGCGATTTACTAGGGGTAAACTAGTTTGCGACAATTAATTTTCATGATCATACCTTTTTTGGATCTGTTACTAATAGACATAGAGACTTTAAGGACCAGTTCATGGCGAGAAATCTTTGCGATGACGAGGATCTCAGGAACCTCGCGAAAATTTCTTGCATATTTGGAGATATATAGAGATGTGAAAATTACTAAAACCTGTAAATTATTGTGCTTCTTTTTACCTTTTTACAGAAGCCATCATAACAGGGCCTCCCATCCTCCAGGAATTGATCTGATTGGTCTGATAATGGTTCACAGATCTCCGTGTTGGGCTTGAAGCAGCACGTCTTACAGGCATCATCTCCTACAGAAATAAATATGTACATTCCCAACTTTGTTATCATGAAGTCAATGCATGGGCACACAAAGAAAAATTATGCATAAGAAACAAACATTACATGCACGTATATCCTAAATTCAGCAACCCGAATGGATAACGATAAGATTTTTCTAAAGACTGAAACCAATATCGGTTTTATACGTCAAATCATACATTTACCTAGAAGAGATCCTTTGAAGCATGAAATATGTAGTGCTATACTCTGTAACTCTGCTACCATTATAAAATATATAACGATCAATATCATCATTTTCAGGATTAAAACGTACTTTCTTTCACCACATGTGATTATTGTTTACTGCATTCTCATGAACAATCGTACAATACGAGTATGGCTATAGTATTGTCAGTGGTATTGCTGCATGGGCTCTGTGTTTCATATGCAATGTATAATTGATTCCATTGAAATCAAACATCCAATTGATGAGTAAAATGGTAATTACATGTAAGATGTGAAACTTTAATTAGTATGCTAGCTCAAGCAAAGTGAAATGCTGTTACCGGAATGATAGTAACAGCCTTGTTCAGTGGGTTCACAGCTCTAGCTTCTATAGTACTCTTCAATCTCAGCACCTTAATAACCCTACCTTTGCACAGACATGGATTCCTATTAACTTGTTGACAAGCATCTAAACATTTTCCATTCCTACATTTTCCAAATCTACAATGATACAGTCTTTGACAAGCAACAGTTTCAACTTTTTAACAAACAAACAAAAATATCCCCTTAAGATTCAAAGAAATTGAACACAGTACTTTTAAAAACAACTGAAGTTTTCTAAAAGTTTTGAATATATATTCACTGAAGGAATGGAAACAAAGAAATTAATTTTTACTCAAATCAAAAAGTAAAATTTCCATTTCTTCAAAGTATTCTTCAATTGAAAGTAATATTTTAAATGTTCCTAATTAAATTGAAATTGGTGAGATTGCACTATAGAATTCTTAAGATCTTGGCATACATTTCTATAACTTACCCATTATGACATGGTGTACCATCAATCTTAGGTAGGGCGTTCGGGCAGGTCAGATCTTTACCACTGTTCATGTTAAGGAACAATCAAACAGTTACATGTATAAATCAACATACAAGACGTTTCAAATACAATTCCTCAAATAATTTTTTTAACTTGATATCAAGTTCTGATCATGTTTTTAATTTTACTTTGGGACAATCCTAGGTGGGTAGAGTAAATGCATATGGTGTGTTTTTGTTTTAACTTGTATCTTAGTTGTTACTTGTTTTGTTTTTCAAATTTGCCTCTTGTTTTGCTTATGTAATTATTACAGTGTGCTGATATTCTATAAATTCTCTATCACCAGTATTCACCAGTAATACCGTATAAGAGAAAATTTTAGCACGATGCAAATTTAGTGAATTGTCCTTAAAAATTGGTATTTTATTTTTAGCGAGAAGTAATTTTAGTGATTTTAAAAAGCTCACTAAAGAAGCTATTGCAAATAAAGCACGATTAGTTTTTATCGATATTCAATCTTAGCGATCTTGGCACCCTTGCTAATAATGCCAAAATTAAATCCTCGCTAAAAATTCTACTTACACGGTATAATTATTACTGTGTGTTGATTTTTTAGTACAATTCTCTGTTATCCTTGCACTAGTTTCAGTAAGGCATGGTATATTCTCAACGTTACATACCGGTAATTAAGCGTCTGAAATTTACACGCTTTTTTTCACTGTTGAAATATACAGGGGATAAGAATTTTGGGCCAATGTCAACAAGTGTAGCAAATATCCAATAACAGCATCTCATTGGGCTAAGAGGTGGGACTCAAGTCGTCTCATTGTTCTAAACAACAATTTATTTAAAGTTCTAGATGTTATTAATTTCTTAACCAATGAGAATCTAATCACCATTTGAGAGATGCTACATACGTGGCGCCGAGAATGCCATGCCTTACTGGGTCCAAGTCCAAGGTTAACTGAGAATTGTACTATAACTTCTTTATCACCAGTAGAAGGATACCTGCAGTGTGACTTCCCCTTACAGTCAAAGTTATCATCTACATGGTCTAGACAGGTGTACCCTATAGGGGCCACAGTACAATTAACACAGCAGGCAAAGTTCATAGGACTGAAAGACAAAATGATAAAATATATCCAACAGGGGCCAACATACAGTTAATCATCGTCGGAAACCCACTGGTGATCTCGTCTTTACTTATCACCCGTGGGCAAACTAGCTGAAAAATCGCCGTAAAATATGCTAATTTGTTGTTTTTAGTCAACCAATCAGAAAGTTGGAACTCTTCAATTTTGAAAAATACGTTTATTACTTTGCTATTTATGGTAAATATTTTGACGCTCGTTAAAACGTGCGAAGTTTGATTTAAAACAATGAAAGTCAATTCGTACAGGTCACGGACATTAATATCCGTCAGATATTATGAAGTAGTACCTCTTTCTAACTGCAAAATGCACCGGTGAGTGGATGCATCAGCTGTGTTAACTACGGAATGAGTTTTTCATGTTTTTGGCAATGCTGAACATGCATATGTAACGTGAACTGTAATTCGTTGTTTCGCATCGCGACTCTGTGATGCGGCCAATCAAATGACTCATACATATTTAATTACATATGACGATTTTTCGGTAAGTTTGCCCACGGGTGATAAGTAAAGACGAGGTCACCCGTGGGTTTCAGACGATGACAGTTAATATAGTACGAAAAGTTCATAGGACTGAAAAGAAAATGATAAAATGTATCCAGGAGGAACCACTGTTCAGTTAATATAGCACGCAAAGTTCATTGGACTGAAAGACTTTTTGACCTTGATCTTAATGACCTTTGTTCACGGTCATCACTAAGGACAAAATAAAATTATTACATTATGCTATGGACACTAAAATTTTTAATTCTTTCTCTATATACAGTCATCTTGATCAGTGGTCAATGTGTGTGGTCAAAAAATAACCTTTAATATGCTAAGATTTCTATGCTAATAATCTTGTTAAGGTTAGGCTACCCTGGATCTAATTACTTTATAAGGGCCAATATTCTGACTTACAGATAAACTTATAATGTGGGTGTGTGTTGGGATATGAATTTAATATTTAGTTACAAGTTTCACAAAAGACGTTACCTGCATTTCATAAACTTGGCCCTGAACTGACATTTGTCGTTACAGCACCTGTCCCCCGTGTAGCCCGCGTCACAGTCCTCGTTTTTATCGACGCGTCCATTTCCACATAAACCTTGACCTGTAGCTGAGGCCTCTGTTAAAAATATCAAGAAAAAGTCAACAATAAAGTATTGAATAATTTTTGGTTATCCTCCATGTAGTATTTTCATTTTAATAGCAACACAACTAAAAAACAAATGACTTAATTTTACCATTTGTTCTTATTCAACTTTATCACGAATAAAATATTAGAGCTGTAAAAACACACAAACCAGAAGACTTAGTGACAGCAATACTCATCTTAGTACCAGTTTACACAATATTTATATATTAAAAGTTCACCTCAACAGCATGTTTCATAAAATTCCCAGGATAGAAAGAATAATGAAACAAACTATATTTTATGTTTAAACTGACGTATCATATTCCCAATTCGAATAGTTATCATACAGACTGAAATTCAAAAACATTCAGTAACTTTATGATTGTATTAATTCTCATTTTTTCCTATTGAACTTAGAAGGCTGTATATATGTCTTTTTCTATATTTTGAAGATCTCCTCCTTTCTTGTACTTTTCTTCAGTTGACTGCACTAGCATTCCATGGAATACTCTGGTTCTATTTCTCAATCACTTCATGAAAAGGGCTACAGGACACCATTTGAATACTTAGAGTATACTATACCAGATATAAACACATAATAGACAAACTTAAATTAAAACATCTCAACTGAGACTATAAATTTGACTTGGTAGGGCTTATTTGGAAAAAAAAACCTCAAAATATAATTCTCTTATCTAATTTTTGAAGGATAATCATATTATTTGTGTTCAATATATGTTTAGATATTTCATGAGGATTGTTACATGCAGAAAAAAAATTATTGTTTTAATAATTAATGATATTTGGGTAAAATTAAAATTAAGGTTGATGATAAAATTGTATTGTGGAGTAAAATAAGGCTCGGATGAAGGAATGGGGGTGCTCCTATTGTATAATATAAACTGAAGATAATATACATGGAATTCAGATGAAGAGGTACACTGATGGTATTAGAATAATGGATTTCAAATAGTGTTTTTTGATCCAGATTTTTTACTTCACACCACTTTCTATAAAAGATTGATTGATCAATCAGCATATTTTGTTCTACATCCATCTATAACTTCAGAAAAAAGAGTAGATATGAAACTTGTAAGACCCTTAATAGTTGAGACGTACTTTTCATATAAACAGTTTATGTAATTTCCGTCAAGACTGTGAAAAACATACAGAGAAAGTTTTTTTTTTTCATGTCTACATTAATTTCATGATTCATAAATGTAGATATACAATTATAATGAAAGAGAATTGTCATCTCATATCATTATTCATAATTTTACATTTCCTCAGTACAAAACATTAAGGAAAAGAAAATCAGTTTTCATGTACACAGGTCTTATGCTAACTTACTGAAATCAAAAGTACATGTAAAACCAAACAAAAAATCAGATACACCATTCCATGCCAGTACCATTAAGAGAAATACCATTGCATGTAGAGGAAAAGAAGCTAAAGTGTTTGATGTTTATGTACAGTATCTTGAGTAAGCATATATTCAATATAATAGCTGGCTGTTTAAATTAAACAAACAAAGGGGGGAAAGAAATTAAAACTTACCAGAGGACTCTAGTTTATAAAACGATATAAAAATTATATAATTGGTTTTGACTTCATTTTTTATAACTGTAGAAATTAAATCAGAAAAACTTATCTATATATATTTTTAAATATCACAGAAATTAAACGTTTCGAGCCCTCTGCATAAAAATAAAATAAAGACAATTAATTGAATACTACATGTATTTGGATTTTGAGGTTATTTATCTAAAAAAAATTCTAGTTTGCAAAGGATCTGCTTTTTTCCCACCTTCCTTGTAAGTTATTTTATCAACTTAAAGCATATCACAGCATCTACAGCAAAAACAGATGAGAGATGCTATTTCAGTCATAAAGTTCCATTGACAAATAACAATGCAAAGCTCACTTTATATTGTATGGAGGATGGACAAATATATTGGGCCGAGTGTAAGTTGACTGCAATCATCTTATAAAAAGGTTACAAGAATAAAGTGATGAATACTGTAACAACACATTTAAATAATGACAGTGTTTATATCCTACCTTTAAAACAGCTGTAGCCCTTTGTCTTGATGACATTGAATATATGCTGTCTGCTGCATGGAGAAAACAGCTGAAAGACAAATATGAATATACACTTAATAGGCCAACTTTGAAAAAAATGTTTGTTTTCCTTCTCCCATGTTGATCTGAAAATATTGGGTTGGTAGGTAGATGAGAAAATTCTTTTCTCTGAAAATTTCAATTTCAATACTTATTTTTTTTAATACTATTTTCCACTGACTACATATAAAAAATATATGTTTCCTAGAAGTTAAACTAGAAATATGTCCATAGGACATGAATGCCCCGCCGAGGATGTATAAGTAAAGCAACATGAAAATTTGTATGTGTATAAAATTTGATCAGAAGTTGAATAGTGATGCAGCGGAATTGCTTGTTTGGAAAATATAGGTCAGATCCAGCATCCAAAGCAAGTCTGGTAGTGTCCATCCCTAGATGCATTATCCATGCAAGTTTGGTTCGGGCAGGACTTATAGTTACTTGGGAATGAAAATATAGGTCAGATCCAGCATCCGTAGCAAGTATGGTAGTGTGCATGCCTAGATGCATCATCCATGCAAGTTTGGTTCAGGTAGGGCTTATAGTTACTTGGGAATGAAAATATAGATCAGATCCAGCATCCGAAGCAAGTCTTGTAGTGTCCATCCCTAGATGCATCATCCATGCAAGTTTGGTTCAGGTAGGGCTTAAAGTTACTTGGGAATGAAAATATAGGTCAAATCCAGCATCCGAAGCAAGTCTGGTAGTGTCCATCCCTAGATGCATCATCCATGCAAATTTGGTCCAAGTAGGGCTTATAATTCCTTAGGAATGGACCTGCTCCAAAAACTTAAATCTGGTCACTCATCTGGAAAATGTAGGTCAGATCCAGCATCTGAAGCAAGTCTGGTAGTGTTCATCCCTAGATGCATCATCCAAACAAGTTTGGTTCAGGTAGGACTTATAGTTACTTGGGAATGAAAATATAGGTCAGATCCAGCATCCGAAGCAAGTCTGGTAGTGTCTATCCCTAGATGCATCATCCATGCAAGTTTGGTTCAGGCAGGGCTTATAGTTTCTTGGGAATGAAAATATAGGTCAGATCCAGCATCCGAAGCAAGTCTGGTAGTGTCCATCCCTAGATGCATCATCCATGCAAGTTTGGTTCGGGCAGGACTTATAGTTACTTGGGAATGAAAATATAGGTCAGATCCAGCATCCGAAGCAAGTCTGGTTGTGTCCATTCCTTGATGCATCATCCATGCAAGTTTGGTTCGGGCAGGACTTATAGTTACTTGGGAATGAAAATATAGGTCAGATCCAGCATCCGAAGCAAGTCTGGTAGTGTCCATCCCTAGATGCATTATCCATGCTTGTTTGGTTCGGGCAGGACTTATAGTTACTTGGGAATGAAAATATAGGTCATATCCAGCATTCGAAGCAAGTCTGGTAGTGTCCATCCCTAGATGCATCATCCATGCAAGTTTGGTTCAGGTAGGGCTTATAGTTACTTGGGAATGAAAATATAGGTCAAATCCAGCATCCGAAGCAAGTCTTGTAGTGTCCATCCCTAGATGCATCATCCATGTAAGTTTGGTTCAGGTAGGGCTTATAGTTACTTCAGAATGAAAATATAGGTCAAATCCAGCATCCGAAGCAAGTCTGGTAGTGTCCATCCCTAGATGCATCATCCATGCAAGTTTGGTCCAAGTAGGGCTTATAATACCTTAGGAATGGACCTGCTCCAAAAACTTAAATCTGGTCACTCATCTGGAAAATGTAGGTCAGATCCAGCATCCGAAGCAAGTCTGGTGGTGTTCATCCCAAGATGCATCATCCATGCAAGTTTGTATCAACATGTGAAGTTTGATTAATCTATCTTGAATGGTATGTTTAAAACTGAGCTAAACACTAATTTAACAAAAGTGAGGTCAAGGTCAAAGGAAAGGTCAAGGTCAAAAAATGTTGATGCAGTTGCATAGCTCTCATCAATATCTATCAGCATATGAAGTTTGATGAAAATATCTTGGATGGTTTCTTTGAAACTTAGCTTTGAGCAGAGCTAAACGCAAAGTGTGACGGAAGGACAGAAGGACGGAAGGACAGAAGGACAGAAGGACGGAAGGACGGAAGACGGACATGACAAACACTATATGCCCCGGCCATATTCATGGCGGGGCATAAAAAAGAAAGGCCCGTGTCTCAAAGCAGCTTCAAGCTAGAATTTATTATCATAACAAGCTTCATTCAAGTATCGATCGCCTTTTTTGACACAACTGGTTGTAGGATATAAGGCAACATTATGACTGACATATTATCTCACCATTAGTCTGGACTGACCTGATTACTATGAATGTATTACATTTGGCGTGTACAATATTTGGCGGAAATTCAATTTTCAACAAGTTAGCGTAGATTTGATTTAGCACTGTCTGAATTTGCTAGTTAAAGAAGTTAATATAAAGACATTTAGCGATGTACTTGAATTAGCGGACTATGTTTTCCGCCAAAATCGCTAAATAGAATACACCGCTAAATGTAATATGTTTACATTAGTCTATACTGACCTGATTATTTTTCTCGTACCCCGAGACTGCGGAGGGATACATGATGAACCGGCCCCCCGATGAGGTGGACGGGGCACAGGAATCGGTATCTGGGTCGTGCTCACTCCCCCAGTTATGACCTGGAAGTATGATTGGCAATGACAAGCGAACATCAATGACGATCTTGTAATAATCATTTTTAAAAAAGGACTTCAAAGAACTTGAACTTTGATATGCACTAAGAATCAAATTATTTTTTAATTCTTAAATTTAAGCTTATTTATTTTGAAGAGAGGATAGAGAGTTAATCTACTTACCCAACTCTGAAAAATCAGGAAAGAAACAAATTAATGATTGTCAATTTACATCAGGTATTCATAATTATTTGATAAACAATTGCATCATTCATTATTATTGGGATGAAAAATTATTTATTATCAGATGCGAGAGACTTTTGGGTAAATTTGGATGCACTAATTTAAGTACATTTGTAATGCTTTATCCCGGAGAAGCAATTGACAATGTATATATAGAACTGTCATTTCTAAAAATTTCTTCATTTCTGTAATTTGTATATTCAATTGACAGCACAGCTGTGAGCAAATTTTATTGATTTTATATAAGGTGAAAAAATGATATCATAAATTATAAGAAAGAAAGAATGCCTTTAACTATTCTATAAATGAAGTCCCTGTATGAACAAATGCTGAACTGACCATGAGCTGTAGTAATGGTGGCTTGATGAACGAGGGCCTGACTTCCATCAGGATTTCTGTACGTACTCAGCCCGGTGTTGGCGGCCATTCTCCTATTGTCCTTCCATGCCACTGCGGGAAAATAAACAATGTCTCTGTTATACTTTTAAAATATTAGAGAATCTAGCAAGAGGAGCTTACAGAGGTTAATTTAAACAAGATACACAAAAAAACAGGCAAAAAAAGCCACACTGATGATTAAATAAAATTACAAAAATTACTGATGATTTTAAAAGCAATGTTCAAAATAAATCTAATGCACAACAAATTGACAATGAAATTGAAGTATCCGTAATGGAGAGAGGAATCTAAAAGTATACTTTGAAAAATGTTTTTTAACATTATGCCAATCATGCCCAATTGATTTCATAATTCAGATGGTCACATGCATCTTAATAGTGAAGATTATATTGTTTAGTTGTAATAAAAGCAGAATTTATGAAAGACAACAAAATCATTTTTAAACATGTTTAAATTGGTTATACACATGTAATTATGAAATGAACAAAGTTATAAATATAATATGAAAAAAAAACACACATTTGGACAACTAGACATATATGTTAGAAATCTGTTTTAGTTCAATCAGGATATTTTAGATAAATGGATTGGACATCAGACATAGCTTATACAAGTCCTCTTTATGTTTGAAACCTGTTTAGAAAACTAATAAGGATTTATGTCAAGAGGAATTAAAAGACAACACTTGCATGTCTAAAAGTTGTAAATATATAACATGAGCCTCATGAGTGCTCCAGTTAGGAGAAATTACTTAAGGATTATTTATAAACTGGTAAGAGAGATAACTCTTACTGGGTTAGATATCACTGACAAGTTTAGAGGTTTTAATTTTTTTTGGAGGGGGGTGTAAAATTTTACCTCCACAAGCTAATGATATTCTCCAGGATTTGTTTGTATTTTACTTATTTTATACATATCAGTCTATTTTTTTGAAAATTAAATCATTACTGCAACATTTTACTTGAGGAAGCAGAAGGGTAAATAAACCTTAAGACCACAATGTATCTTTAGATTTCGGGTCAAGCATTTCATTTCTTATGTTCCAACTTCTTGAAGATGGGATCAAAAAGAGGATTTGGAATAGATTGTGATACCTCTCTAAAAAAAATTAAGAGGAGTGGGGAAGTTGGGGGGGGGGGGGGGGGGGTTAAAAAGAAGATTCTACTAACCAAACATAAAGACTGATTACTGATAATATATACAACAACCAACTATAAAGATGGAGTCATTTGTTAGTAAGATTTTCAATCCACAGTCAAGTACATAAGTATCATCATGCAGTGACCCATTAGGGTTTACTCCCGGTGTATTACATGTATTTCATCCCCTGTAAGAGTACATGCAGAAACATGTGAAATCAGTGACATTCGCTCATTGATTCACAATGCATATAAGATTTAATTTTTTCCTCTTCAAGCTGGTTTCCAAGTGCCCCCTTTCATGCTTTTTTGTCAAATGTGTAAAGTGCACTTTCAATTTCTCTTTAAAATCTCAAAGCTAAATTTGCATCACCAGTAAGTAAATAAGAAAGAGACATTTTCAAACATTCAAGGGAGTTGAACATGTAATTTCAGAAGTATAAAGTTAAAATGTTCAACCTCCATTCATTCATTCTGAGTTAAAACATTGAATACCAAGGAGTGAGGCAGGCAACAAAAGGGGAGGTAAATCTTCTTACCTTTGTCTGAATTTTATCAACACTGGGACACACAGGTACATTATATTATACTTTACATGTATAGGCTACACAAACTTATAACATAAACTTATTCAAAGTAAAATCAGAACTACTTTTTTCTTTGCTTACTTTCCATTATTTCTTTTGTTTTCTCTTCTGAACATTTGAAATGATTCAAATCTTACAAATTACCAGTTCTTAATTATTTAAAAATTTACAAGTACATAAGAGTATCTAAAAACTTGATTAACTTTACAAAAAATATAATAAAGGTGGAAATGTGCAAAAGTCAAACGAAACAGATTAAGTTCATTAAAATCATGCACCCAAAATCTTTTAGAATTCCTGTCTAAATTCGTTTTGTAGAAAACTACACTTGTCTGGTCTGATCTTACCTGGGGAACACATTCCTCCTAGGTCATTGATCCTGTGGGAGGCAATGTAGGCAAGACCCAGTTTCCCCGGGAACGACTGATACGTGAACAGGTGAGCTAAACAGTACGAGGCATGCTTCTGATCCTCCCAACCAAACATCTGTGTAACACAATAAAACAGGTGAGCTAAACAGAACAAGGCATGCTTCTGATCCCCTCAATGAAAACATCTGTACAACATAATAAAACTTGAGCTAAACAGTACCAGGCATATGCTTCTGATGCTCCCAACCAAACTTCTGTATAACTTTAAGTTAATAATATGAACACATTCTAAAGAAACTTTTGAAACTTCTTTTAAAGAGTAACCAATATACATATATAATTATTAACACCAAATGCGTGTCCTCTAGTTGCTATTATTTTTTTTGGAAGGGGGGTGTAAGGCTAATTTCTTTCTATTTACATCTAGCATCAGTCCCATGTCTTCTGGTCAAGTTTTTGTGGTAACATTGTAATGCTATTCTGTTTCTGACCTGTGACCTACTTACATCTAGTACCAGTCCCATGTCCTGGGGTCGATTCGCCATGTTGTAGTGTAAACCATTGGGAGGAACAACCGTGTAGGAATCGTGGACAACCAGCTGTAACCATAGCAACCAACAATTGATTCACATGTCAAGTCATTCCCATATTTTTTGAAGCATTTTTTGTTCCAGTCAAATTTATTATATTTTATAAATTATTGTATCATGATTATAATATCACATTTTCTTTGTCTCTTTCTATCTATTTTAGTAGACCTAAAATTGTTTTACTTTCAAAATCTTTGAATTTCAGAAAAACACATTAAAAAGAAGAATCAAAATCAATTTAATAAGTTTCAGAGTGTATGAAAACAATTTACCTCTGCAATTTCAAATCCCAGATTCTTGATGTTGGAGTTGAAATCAGGCCACATTGTAGCTTTGTAGATAGCATTCACCCTGCCAATGATTCCAATCTACAAGGAACATGTACACATAACTGTACCTTAGTGGCCAAAGCACAATGGGGCATTGATAAACTTTACTACATCTGAGATTTGGAAACTTAAATTTTTATAACAGTTTCAGGAATGACTGAAACTGAATGCTGAATGACTCACTTAGACATATTCTCTATATTCAAAATATTAATTTTCAAGAAATAAAAAGTTTAACTATAACCAAGTATCACAAATACATACACAGTAAAAAATAATTTTATAGCAAAGTGCCAGGGATGGACAATTTTGTTTTGTTATAATCATATTTTGTTACATCCTTCCCACTTATAATGTAACTAAAATCAAGGGGTATGAAAATCACTTTGCTGTAAGCATCAATTCATCATAAGCAGGTTTTCTATAATCATATTTTACTGTATTTCATTCAGCTTTCTATTAATAAAATTAAACCAACTTATTGGTTTAATTGCTACCAAGGTATAAAAAAAAATTACGTAAAATTCCTACAATGTATTCTCCTGTAGTTCTCCTGTTCCTACGACCTAGATTGCTGTAAAAGTAGTAATCGGCCACGACTATTAATCGGCAAACTGTGTGGGAACCGACATAGGACATAGTCTGACGCTTTCTTCTTAAGGGACCTGAAGGGAGAGATAACAGAAAATTATAATCTGGAATTAATCTGCTCAGAGAACTGCGAGCATCTGAAGTACATAAACCACATAAAATAAACAAATTCACATGTATATAAAACTGTGCCCTTTTGTACTATAATCAGGGGTAAAATTATTTCTCAGAAAACACATGATTCAAGGATATGTTTTATTTTTTACCGAGTACTAAAAACTAATTATAATACCCTGGCATATTTGTTTCTAGTGCACCTTCACTTCCATATTCTGTGATTTGTATTCAACAAAATAAAAAGATATCCCTGGTAGTTCACTATACTTTTGAATCTCAATACACGTCATGTGACTCATGTCTTAACAGTATATACAGTACAGGCAACGCGGATCCCGTATTTCCCGCGTCCCCACCGCGGTATAATCACAACGCGGTATTTGGCCAGGTAGACAGGTAAACCGCGTTCCCTCCGCGGGAAATTCGTCACTTACCTGTCCCCGCCGCGGTTAAATCATCGATCAATATATTACTGACAATTAGTATCGTAAACAAACGGGAGTTATCTCCCCGAATTGAAATTTGCGAATTTTCCCTATAACAAAAAAAAAAAAAAAAACAAAAACGAAAACAAAAACAAACAAACAAAAAAAAAAACAAACAAAAAAAAAAAAAACCGTGTGTTTATTAATAAATTTTGCTATGAATAGAATTTAAACTAAGAAAAAATAAGTTTATTTTTGTTTCTAAAATTACATATCAATCTTTGAAATTGAATAGAAAATTTCATTAAATTGTTACGTCTTTGCAATTGGTTAATTATTTTATGTTATTAAGAATCTATCAAGAAACAAAATTAAATACTAGAAATTTTAATTAGTTTTTTTTTAATCTTCATATTATATGCAAACTGTAATAAATGTTGAACTCAGACTGTTTAAGTTTCGATGAACGATTTTCAGCATTTATTTGAAAAAAAAGATGTACATCTTTTTAAAAATGTACATCTTCATATTGTTTATTAATTAATTTCGATTTATTGTATATAACATGTACAGGCTTTTTCTTAAAGTGTCAAATTACCGGAAAACATCCGATGACGAGCATTTGCAGTTACATGTAGTGGGCACGTGAACTTAAATTTTCTTTATCCAAGATATCAAGAAAAAGTTCTATTCTTCTTTATTTCTCATCGTTTATGTTCTGTTCTCAAATTAACTTAATTTAATTAATTAATTTTCTTTAATGTATTTCCCTCTTTTATATAAATGTGCAGGCATTTTTCTCAAATTGTTAAATGACCGGAAAGCATTCGATGACGAGAGTTAACTTTGAGCACGTGAACTTTATACAAGAGATCAAGAAAAAATATCATTTTTCACCTTCACATTAACATGTTTTACTTTTTAATACAATGTCTTTCTTTTTAATTTTAATATTTCTCGATTTTCGTGTTCAATAGATAAGATAGGATGTGCAGGTGTCATGATAAACTTCACAGACGAAATTATAGTTTATATTAATAAATATTAAATGCAAAAATTAATATATTTTTGTTTTCTTTGACAAATTCTGTTTCTTTGTGTATTAAGTATTAGCCGCGATCATTTCCTGTGTATAGGGATTAGCAGTGCCTGAGCAGGAAACGACATGCCCTGGGGGTTTCACACCTGTCTTACAGTATACCTTGGGTAACGCTCGCTGGCACATGATGTGCCATTCAACAACACATTTGATTCATTGTTTCATTATTATTTCATCGATATCATTTTCAGATGCGATATTAGCCTTGGAATTTGTGTCAAATTATTGTTGCTTTTTTTTAAACGGAGTGTATAAGAAGAATAAAAGTAAAAAAAAAAAAAAACTTTTAAAACAAATTAATGAAGTATTTGATATTAATTAAATCAAATAATGATCCATTACTATGTTATTTCGTGTCTGATTATATCTGTACCAGTTACAAGATTGAAAGAGAGAGAGAGAGAGAGAGAGAGAGGAGAGAGAGAAGAAAAATATCACAATATTAAGGCACGTGCATGATCGTTTTTCCTCCTTTTTGATCAGTATATCAATTTCTTAAGTCTAGTGAATAAAACTACCGCTGATTTATCAGTTTATTGACCATTTGTGGAATTTGTCTAAGTTTTATTGTTATTTATCGAGAGACTTGTTTATGATCCACTTTCTTCAGCATATGTACATTTGAATTACTTCCCTTTTTGTCGCCAGATTACAACGACAGATTTTGGAGGTAAAATGAAATGTATTTTTGTTATAAAATTTGATTAAGAAAAACACAGTATATTAAAATTGTCGAATTATTGAAAATATTTATTTGAAACATTAAATTTAAAAAGGATTCTGTCTGCAACAAAAACATTCTTTATTTCAATTCATGAGCTACACATGAAAAAAAAAAACGGCTTCGTTTTACAATGTCGTAGGAAAACGCATACAGGTAATACACTCAGGTAACATCCTGTGTATATAGGTAGTATGCCCATGTTCCCATTTCGCCTTAACTGTGAAATTCAGGTAAGAAAAAGTACTAAGGCGAAATGGGAATTTTAATATTTGTAAATATTATTATAATTTAAATTTAAAAAATTGAATAAGATTGAATTAAACATTTAATTGGAATTTATGAATACAGTGAATGAAATAATACATGTAATACTCAAAAATACTTTATGCTAAATATATTAAATCTTTTTCACCTTAATTCATCTGAGAGCTTACTAAGGCGAAATGGGAATACAAAATTTTACAGTTAAGGCGAGATGGGAACAAACCGTAGTATGTACACTAGACAGTGTCGTTCCCTCGGGGCTTCTCAACCGCTTCGAGTAAGCTCCACTCCACACCAAACTTACCTGAGGAAAACCGAACGGTTACACAGACATCTGAAAACTCCAAGAAGCATGGCAACTTGCTGATTAAAATAAGTTAATTTCTGTGTTGTGTGTTCAAATATTTTAAGGGCCCATATTTATTTTTGTGTTTTATTTGAACCGGAAAAATCTGAAATTTGTTTATGTTCATAAACATGATTTAATTAAGTAATTTTCGAAAAGAGCAGAAAATAGAAATACATTCAAATACAAGCTATGATATTATTGATATTCTGAATAGAAATACCTGTGATTATTTCATTAACAAGAACCCCTCCTCCCCCCTAAAAAAAAATCGTCGATATTTAGTTCTTAGTCTTACAGTGTGGCGCATAATAATGGAGCAACGGTATTCCTACACTTAGGCGTGTTTTGTTAAAATTTAATTGTAATTATGCATCAATATCTATCATCGTTTTTCATGCTATTATTTATAACAGACATGTATACAGAAGTAACGGTACTTTTCTAAATGAAACCAAATGACTGATATAATATCGCAGATAAATAAACACATAGCTACATGTAACTGCAACTGCACGGGCTAATTGTGAACACCGGATTACAGTGCATATAAAGAGAAGCGATATCATGGCATTCTTTAAATTTTAATTATACCTTTTTAGCAATTTGAAGATCATTTGGGGTGGCATTATTGATTTTGAAAATAAACTTTAAGTTAATATATTCAATAAATTATTCGACTTTATTTCATCCTATACTTTACATGTATTACTGTTAACAGACGTTTTTGAGAATTAATTAATTTTGAGTGACCATTGGTAAAAAAAAAAAAGAAAGATGTTTTTTATTAAACAATTTGATAAAACTTAAAAATGAATTTTTAAAGAATCCATGTAATGGTATAAATCTGTTAATATTAATTTGGTCGTAATCCCCCCCCCCCCTCATTTCGACACGATTAAAAATCGACAATACTTTACAGGTAAGAACATCTAAGCTGAAGAATAACGGTAGCGGGCCCCGCTGCGGTGTAAACACGGTCTCAGGTAGCACCGCGATCAAAACCCGCGACGGTGTAACGCGGAAAGGATTAATACACCGCGGAGGGGACGCGGTCTAAAACGGGATCCGCGTTGCCTGTACTGTATTATGTCAAAAAACTAATTGGGATAACTATAGATGAATGAGAAGAAATAGAAATAACAAGCCTATTCAGAGTAAATTCTTATTTCATTATTACTCACTTGCTGTGTCTTCATACAATGGAAAAAGTCGTAAGCCATCCTCCAAATTTTCTGCTCTAGTAAGAGTTGTTCCCCTTGTCGCATTGCACAAAGATTCCCTGTTTTGATAAATACACCATGTAAATGATGATGATATTTGTATAATTTCAATATTGGTGCTTTTATCCTTTTATTTTTTCCATTTCTTTAAAATATATTTTTAAAAAAATTGAAACTAAAACTTACTAAATACATTTATGTATCAAAGGACCCCTTACAATAAATATACATGCAGGAACAGTGTACTGTTTATCATTGGTATTGGTGTCTTGTTAGGTCATGTTTTCTGGAATTGATTGACTGATGAAAAGTCTGTCTATCAATCCGTCTAGCCGCATGCCTATCTGTCTATGTTTACTGTTCAGTTTTACATGTGATGAAGAACCTGGGTCTTACTGGTAGAATTCTCTGGCTTCAATTTCATATCTCTTTGTGTGTCTGTTTGTCTGTGTGTATTTCTGTTTGCCTGTGTGAGTGTGTCTGTCTGTGTGTTAGCGGGTCCATATAGTACCTTACCTGACCCCCATGGTAGAATCCTCTGGCCTCCATTTCATATCTGATTGTCTGTAAGCTATCATAGAGTCATTGGACGACCCTGATACATGTTTCCACATTGGCTAAAAATAAAGAATAAAGTGTGAGTCATATTAATACAACATTCTCTATGGTATAACTGTTGTGGAAATCTATGGATCTATATTTATGTGGGTTTTTTTGTTAATAATGCATCTCGAGTATTCAAAATCAAAATTCTGTAATGTAACTTAAAATTCAAATCGAAATAAAAAACAATATAAAGATTTTATATCCAATCATACCTTATAAGCAGAATTTTGAGGGTGGATTTAATGTTGACATTAAAAGCAAGGATTAGAAGAAAACCATTACTGAATATTGCTAATAATTTATTCTGTATCGGTTATTTCATTTTAGCTTTCTCTCTTGACATTAAATATCACTAAAATTATATCTCACTAAAGGCCAATTTTTTTCTTTTGATAAATTACAAAATTGTCACCTTGCTAAAATTTCCACTTAAACAGTATTTAATAATGTTTGACATACTTCAAAAAAGTATTTTTCATCTTTTGTATTGACAAAGATGTTGGCAAGCTCATTTTCCCATTGTAGGTGAACCGTAGAACCAGGGTCTGATTTAGACGTTCCCTCGAAAAAGATGTCAGTATTGACAGAAAACTCTGAGGTACTTCCATCTTTGTGGATCGCAGAGGCTTTAAAATCACTTGATATTGGAACGGATGGCTTCAGAAGCAGGTGAAATTTTCTAAAATTAAAATATAGTTATAGCTATTTTAATTCATTGAAAAGAATGAAATTAATTAAGGAACATTTGAAGTTTTCTGTGAGTAACTGAAACGTAAAGCAGACTTGTTGCCCTTAAGGGTACTTACCACAAACAAAAAATGGATGTGCGGGTTGATATATATTTTTTGACTGATTTTGATTTGTATTGATACATGTATGAATAATAAATCCCTGAAATATCAAGAAATCGTAAGTTTTCCTTGGTGTTTAGATTTGAGATTTTATTTTGCCCTTTATATAATTCCATACAAAATTTTGCACAATTTTTTAACTTTATGACAAAATCTTATAAAATTCTCCCACTCTACTTGGTAAACATTACTCAGGTTGTCAATTTAAATGTAAATCTATGAGAAATAATGCTGATTTCTGAAAAAAGTATATTTGTGTTATTTATCCTTAAGGCATATTTCTTGAAGTAAAAAAAAATATACCTACATTCAAGTCTGCGTTAATTCACAGAAATTATTCACATTAAACATTTAACATTCCTTATATTGGTTGAAATTGAGAATTGTCAAAAATTATGATCATTGGAATACAATATAAACAAGGAAACAAGTTTTCTGCTATTAAAAGAGTTTTCAATGTAGATTTAGTGTTAAAATTCTTAATTGAAAATGCAGACCCTGAATAAAGTATCATTGACAACAGACACAATATGTTACCTGATTATAATAAATTTTAAAAAATATCAATTCTCTAAAATGAATACTGATCAAATTATATACATGTACTATTTTATTAGTTTTTGATTAGACAGTTAAATACCTTCCAAAACTTTCAAATGACACCTCATGGATGGCTGCCTGTGGTCGCGGATCAACGCTTCGACGAACTCTTCGATTAAGGTCAGATTTCTTTAAAAATTCATAATACTTTAAATCTTCTATTCCTACAAAAAAAAGTAACAATAAAGGAAATTCACAATAAAGGTTAATGTATAACTATGCTTTACTCCAATCTGACTAAAATCATATCTTTTTAAACTGTCATCTCAAAATATTACTAACAGCGTGTTCCTAACATATTATTTCACTTATTCCACGACAAAATGACCCTTATAATTGTTGTTAATAGCTCTTCTGGCCCTGAAATTAAGACCATCAAAAAATTCGTCTATTTATACTGTCATTTTGGTCTGCAAGATAATTCGGTCCAACATGCTTCGTGCAGATGTCAACTACGAGAATACTTCTACTTCTACCAGTAAGTGGCCTCCATCAATTAGTTGACTATTATGCCACCAGGTGTGTGCATGTTTAAAAAGATTTTTAAAAAATGTAACAATTGTGACAGTCTATTTACAAGTGAGTTTAATTGTTTGGCTGGTGACCTATAGACGGAGGCGAGCCTTAATTTAATTGAAGCAGTCAAGGCTCGGTGCCATCACGGTAGAGGTGGCCTGGGCATTACCCCACCTCTGTTGATTTTCCGTGAAATCCTGGCTTGCGATTGGTTAAAGTCTGTCATGTGAAGGAGGTGGATTTTTATATCCAGTCAGTTGTAAATCTATACACGGTCAGTTGTAAATCTATACCCGGTCGATGTATTACGTAACAAACATAATGTGACATCATAATAGGCACAGTATAAGCGTGATGAAGCATTTAGCAGAGAAAATCATCTATAAACCACTGACAAAACGTAAATGTTTCATCGGTGGGGTAAATTCGTTACATATTCTTTTAGTGACAGGGTATGGAATGATACCTGGTTAGTAAATTTCATACCTGACTCGTCTCCGCCTTGCCAGGTATGAAATTTACTAACCAGGTATCATTCCATACCTTATCTCTAAAAGACTATGTAACTAATATTCCACTCCTCGATGGTTTGTGGGCAGAATGACTCCTTCCTCACTGACGTTGGCAGACTTGACACAGACCGTACTTGACAGAGGAGTAAGGAATATTTTGAAATCTATACTTTTTTATGATTGAGGTAAGAATTTGAAAGAATAAATCCAGAAATAAGCGCAACTTTTTGAGCGCAATAAATATACAGTTTTTACAATGGGTGGCACTGTAGCTCTCCGGTCTGTCAATATTTTCTCCGGAGATCGAGCTACAGTTCTGCAGCTAACTTACAGGGATCTGTTTCTTCCAATTATATCACAGTTCGTGATTTCTATTTTTGTAATATTCTAAATATAGACCTATTTTATCTTTACTTTACATAATGTTGATTTTAGGAAATAGATCTAGTGATAGAAACACAGAACTGAGTATTTGGAATCACTTCATCAATAAGTAATCTTAAGTTTTAGGGGAAACACCTTTACTTATCAGCCACTTACCGTATGCAGATAGAAAACAGTAGAGAAAAGTTATATACACAAATAAAATCATGCTGCCATAGAAATCAAGAACATCGAGTTCTTAGGCCAAGGCCCCCAAACTTTAGCGACTCGCCGCCGACTCTTCCAAAAGCAAAAACAAAGTAGGCCAAGTAATTTCCGGTTTCTACTTTCACTTTTGCCATTGTTTCATGTTTTATTTCATACCAACGCGATCCAGCATCGCATGTAAGTAGATACTGAATCTAACATCAATACATACATGTATTTTAGGTTAAATGAAATATTCATGATCAAGTTATGGGAATTTTAAAGCGTCTACAATTTATTTTTTCCCCATTTCCGTGCACGCTCATGCATTTTTAATACTTAGCCACATAAACAGATAAAGCATGTTTAGAGCGGCAGCTGAGCACTGATCTGGGCATATTTGTAAAGCTCTCCCGAGAAGACTGATTTTTATTTTTTTTTCTATCGTCATAATTTGAATTTAACTGAGATAAAGTGAGTAATATTATTGAGATCATTGTCAGTAGCATGGATTAAGGTCTTCTGCTTCAGCAGCTGGTACAAAAAATGTCAAGCAGTTTTTAATTATAATCTCTTTGTTCTTGTCAATCTGTCTGTCAGAATTAAGCTATGATTTACACTTCATAATCAGTTGATATTTTTTAATTAAAACTTATATAATTCATATGAATGACTTTTTTCAAACCATTGAATATGAATTTAAATGTAGATTTAATTGTCATAGATTTGGATCAATATTTTTATTTCGCTTAGATTAACCAGACAGACATGAATTTAAATATCATGAGTGGATGGTTTGGCTTGCTTGTGATGTTAGGAATATCTGAAGCAACATTGTCTAAGAGTGACAAGAAGAAGGAACGACCAAATGAGGTACTGACAATTAGCCACATATAATAACCTGTAACTTTGATGGTTCATGATTTTACACACCCATTTAAAAGAGCTGAATAACAAAAAAGAAGAAAATGTTTTCAGTCATACATGTAATATGTTTAAAATTTTAATGCTGATGTCATTTTGACTTGTTTTAATGTCCCGGCATGTTCTTGCATTGAAGTTTTATTTTCACAGATAAAATTAAGCTCTGTGAATGTCATAGACAGAGGTTTAGTGACAGAGAAAGTCAAGTCTACGGACATCATTAAGGAGCATGCCTCATATTGCGACAGAGATCGAGAGGTCAAACATTTCCCTGGGGTCACTCTGGCCTATGTCACACCGGTGAGTAGAAAATAAATGATTAGAGGTTTGTTTAGTAAAAAAGAAATATTAGAGGACTAATTTTGTACAGTTCACCTGTACATATAAGCTTTTGTTTTCATCATGTCATATCTCAAATTCTGTAATAATTCTTTATTTGTGATTACTTTATTTACAGTAAGTACACAGGCGTAATTTGGCGTTTTTAATCTTTCTTTTCATAAATAAAGATATCCCATTATAGTACAGGGGGGATTTTTTATTTATGATAAAAAGGTTAAAAACGTCAAGCACCTGTGAGTAAGTACACATTTTAAATCTTAAGTTTCTGAAAATTCAATTTTCTATTTCAGTAATCTTTAAATTCAAAATTTTATCTAAGGATATTTTTATATAGTTAAAAGAAAATTCTTTTTCAGTGGAAAATGACAGGTAAGGATATAACTAAGATTTTGTTTCTCTTTCAGTGGAACAGTATACAGTTAAAGTATAACATTGAGGGAGTCGGCAAGATTCCAGTTCTGCTCGAGCACGCCTATTTCCCTCGGCGCAAGCGCCTTGGGAAATAGACTTGCTCTTGGGGAACTGGAATCTTGCTGACTCCCTCAATGATATACTTTAACTGTTTTATTATATCGATACAAACTAGACATTTAAAAAAGTTATATTCAAATCCTGAGCTCGGCATCATTTGCTACCAGTAAACTAGTTCTTATTGATTGATATGGGACTAGTTGACTCGCGATGCATTTCATATCATTAATGAATATTCATGAGTTTATTCAGAACATTTCTAAGTTTGTCGTAAGTTTAAAGAAAATGCTAAGTGTTTGGAATAGGTGTGTATCAATTCATCAAAAAAACGAACTTTTTTTGCAGGGAATCAATCTTGTTTTGCAGGGAATTGGTTTATTAACGGTGATTTTCAGGAAATCAGCAAAATACATTGATTCACATTTTTATATAGTGAAAAATCAGTAGAGGTATAATAATCATGGCTATGATATAGCTAAGATTTTGTTTCTCTTTCAGTGGAACAGTCATGGCTATGATATAGCTAAGACTTTCTCTCGGAAGTTCTCCTTCGTGTCTCCAGTCTGGTTACAGATCAAAAGAAGAAAAGGAGGAACCTTCTATATACAAGGGGACCATGACATTGATCAGGGTAGGTATATACAGGGGGACCATGACATTGATCAGGGTAGGTGTATACAGGGGACCATGACATTGATCAGGGTAGGTGTAGACAAGGGGACCATGACATTGATCAGGGTAGGTATATACAAGGGGACCATGACATTGATCAGGGTAGGTATATACAAGGGGACCATGACATTGATCAGGGTAGGTGTAAACAGGGGGACCATGACATTGACCAGGGTAGGTGTATACAGGGGACCATGACATTGATCAGGGTAGGTATATACAGAGGGACCATGACATTGATCAGGGTAGGTGTATACAGGGGACCATGACATTGATCAGGGTAGGTGTAGACAAGGGGACCATGACATTGATCAGGGTAGGTGTAGACAAGGGGACCATGACATTGATCAGGGTAGGTATATACAGGGGGACCATGACATTGATCAGGGTAGGTATATACAAGGGGACCATGACATTGATCAGGGTAGGTATATACAAGGGGACCATGACATTGATCAGGGTAGGTGTAAACAGGGGGACCATGACATTGATCAGGGTAGGTGTATACAGGGGACCATGACATTGATCAGGGTAGGTATATACAGAGGGACCATGACATTGATCAGGGTAGGTGTAGACAGGGGGACCATGACATTGATCAGGGTAGGTGTATACAGGGGGACCATGACATTGATCAGGGTAGGTGTATACAGGGGGACCATGACATTGATCAGGGTAGGTGTATACAGGGGGACCATGACATTGATCAGGGTAGGTGTAGACAGGGGGACCATGACATTGATCAGGGTAGGTATATACAGGGGGACCATGACATTGA